AAATTAGGATTTACTTGGAGAGGGGCAATACCTAATTTATTGAAGACTAAGTGATAAAAGGGATGAAGGGGAAAACGAAGGGCGTTAAGATGTCCTACAGATAAAAGCAGCTCATTCTCACCTACCCCTTCACCAGAATTGAAATCGGTGCTAGTGGGGTATTCAGCTATTTCTACTCCCTCGGGGATCTTAAACTCTTCCATTACGAAATCAATGTTGAACTTAAGGCATCGAATTAACAAGACTGTTTCTTTTTCTTGTTGGGTAAAGATGTTGGTAGATCCAGAAATGGATTCCTCCGCTTGAGATGAAGAATTATCCTCCCTCTCAGTAGAATCGCTTGTAACCTCAATAGGGTTAGAAACCCTAGGTGGTGGAATTCTAAGAAGAACAGGAGATTCTGAAGGGGTAGTTTCAAAATCCATAATTGGGTGAAGTGTTCATGATATAAAAGCAACAAGTAAAGTATAAATTGACCTGAGAAATTGACGAGGCTGCGAACATAAGGAAGACAAATGTAAGCTTTAGAGAAGTTTTGTGGTTAAAATGTCAATAGTCACTTCCAAAACCGCCTCTTACACTTTTGGAAACCGAGCAAATTCAATTTCCTTCTAATTAGGAACTGTTGCTCAAATTTTGAGGGAATTGGGGGCAAACTGTGGAGAGAAAAATCCCCCTGCGAAGAAAAATCAGCCGCATCATTAAATAAGGCATAACCTATTTCTCATGGGCCACACGATCTTTAAACCCAGCCTGACAATGCCCAAAAGAACTATCATTAGCCCAACACCGAATTAACTCGATCCATCCTCAATCAAATGTGCAGCTAGGATAAAGATTATCTATGATTCGGATCAAGTCAATTACGTTATCAAGGGAACCTCACAAGGAAGAATTTATATGAAGCAAGTACCTTGCATAAAAGAAAAGCTGTACATGGAAGAATTTATACGAAGGAAGAATCTTATATAGAAGAAACGCCTTACATGGAATATAATGACGAAGGATAATGGTGAATAAAACGTGATGGACAAGCAAGACAATTCTTATCGTATTTTATCATTAAATTTTGTATAAATAGAGGCATAAGTTTTCAATAAAGATCATCGAAAAATTCTCCGAACATTTATTGTTTATTGTTTATTATTTTATTGAGTGTTTTACTTTTATTCTTCAACTTATTATAATTGACGAATTTTTGCAAGACAATTCTTATCGTATTTTATCATTAAATTTTGTATAAATAGAGGCATAAGTTTTCAATAAAGATCATCGAAAAATTCTCCGAACATTTATTGTTTATTGTTTATTATTTTATTGAGTGTTTTACTTTTATTCTTCAATTTATTATAATTGACGAATTTTTGCACCTGCAGCAAGTATTTAAGAAAGACTTGCCACACAATAAAAAGGTCCAATAGCACCAAATTAGGTGGGTTGATTATAAATGCGGATTATGTATGGAAAAACTCATACGAAAATAAAGGGGGAAAAAAAGTAGAAAATGTGAAATACTAACTTTCTACAATAATGACAGATTCATTCAAGTTGTTGCTCTTAAGGTTAACATTTTTTTTCCCCCTTAATTTTAACTTCACTTCAAGAATTGAGTTAAAACATGTTTGATCATACACCATTTCAACTATGTGAAACACTCACTTTATATAAGGAAAAGCCTCCCTATGCATCTTGGTGGTTATCGCGGGCACCAACGTTTAAAGATGCACTAAGAGTGTGAGTGTGCAATGCAGCTAAGTTTTAAATTTATAAATGCCACTACTACCTCTAACTAAAAATATAGCTAAGGTGAGTAGGGATCGTCCCAAGGGATTGTAGGCGTGCTTGCAATGGAAACAATGTATAGGGTTAGTAGGTCAAGTGATCAAAAGATAATTTGATTGGTTGATTAAAGTACAATGCAATTGAAATTAAAGCAAGTAAAAGGTAACAATTTAGAATGTAGGAAAAAAGATATAGAGGAGAGGACTTGGGGTACTAGAGCTCACCACTAAGTTTGACTTCACTAGACACTAACAATTATATATCAATGGGGAAATTGAATTGTAACTTGTGTTTGTGGGTCATTAAGTGAAACTAGGCATGGATGGCAAATAAGTATAGATTGTCTAGCCAATTCAAATGGAAAACACAACCTATCAAATGAGACCAAAATCCATTCAATGAAACCACAATTTATGCACACACAACTATCTAAAAATATACACCATTTGCATTTATAAGTATAGAACACCAAAGAACAAGAAAAGATTGTCCACCTATCTATGAATCTAAAGCAACTACACTACATCTACACTAAAGATATGGAAATTAAACTAAGTAAGCTAAAGGTGTGGCACAATCCATCAAGAAACAAGTGTGAACCATCAAATAAATTACAAGAGTGTTTAATTAAGCATTATGTTTTGACCATCTCTAGATTAACTTCATCCATACACATAGAAATGCATAAACTCCACTAAATCTAGAGAAAAGCACATGAATCATCCATTCTAGCATTCATAGACATATGGTTAGAAATAGATAATCAATTTAAAGCATTAATCCATACACATCAAGTAGAAACCACGAGATATATATAAATCCAAGATCAAAACATATTACAAGCAAATCCCCAAAAATATACAAAGCACTAAGTCTAGGAAGCAAACTTAAGGGCTACTCTAGCCCCAAGTAGATGTCTAACCACTCATTGAAGTAGTCATCCAACCCTCAAGGGCTATCTCCATGGTAGCCATGACCTCCTTCTTGATGGAAACCCTAGAAGAATGGAAAAACTCCCAAAGATGTGTAAAAGCTCTTTAGTCTCTAGCCTCCTCTCCAAGATATGAGATGTATGTGCTATATTCAACTATGTTTAATCCCCCCTTCTCTTAAAATAGCTCAAAATCCTTATATAGGAGGCTCAAGTGTCACACCCAATGGTCTGGATTCGTGCACTAGGGTCTTTGCAATAATTGCACTATAAGCCAACTTTTAATAAGCTGGACTTTGTTTTAATTCAGACTTGAAGAAGTTCGATCGATCGAACTGTGTTGAGATCGATTGAAGATTGGTGAGATCCATCGATTGCTGCAGAAATCGATCATCCTTGGCAGCGCCTTTTTGAATAAAAACAAATCTCTGAGATATTTTGGGATATTTTGGGAAAGAAACAAAAGTGGTAGGTGGGATGGTAGGTGTGGATAAGATCGATAATTTTGATCGATCGAAGATAAGTTGGATCGATCAAACATGGTGGAATCTTTTGGATAAGTACAAAGGCTTAGATCCATCTTGAAGTGTCCAGATCGATTGAAGGAATGTTGAGATCAATCGAACTTGCTGATTTTCCACACTTTGCTTCATTTTGCTTCCACTTTGCTCCTTTCTTCCATTCAGCTTGAGATAACTTCTTTAATGCTCTTATTTGGCTGAATTAACTTATTTTTGGGATAAGTACCTAAAAAGGGCAATAACATGAAATTAGTCTAAGACGAAAAAATAAGATAGATAAGGGTCCTAGAATACCTGAACTTAAGGAGTTTAATTACGCACTTTTCAGCGTTCATCACATCTCAATCCAATAATTAACATATTAATCGTTTCAAATTGGATAGTGATCATTATTATAAAAGATATTTTTACATATTTTATGACTCTCTAAGTATATATAAACTCTCTATCTCCCCAAAAATTTTAAGTGCTTGAATATTTATATTTATCTAGAAAGTTTTTGAGAGATTATGTGAGGTTCGGTTCCATTTTTCATTTTTTCGATATTTTTCGAATTTCGTGTATTTCATATTTATATGTGTGGGAATGCGTGTCATATGGTTCCCAATATTTATTTCAACCTTTTTTTTTTTAGTCTAAGACTCTTAAAAATGTATTTGGAGTCATTTTGAATTTTGTGGGCCCGAAAAATCCCGTGTGAATTCGGGGTCGAGTTTCGTGCTTGGCAATTTTTTCGACTCCATTTATTTTATGTTAGTTTGTGTTAGAACACTTTATTCTATTTTGATGTAACATTATTTGTCTAAGTATACTTGTTAGTAATTTTAGGGAAATTTATGTCATTGTAGAGCTATAATGGAAGGGTCCACCTTAGCACCCACATGTGACTAGCATATGTAAGAGAGAGAAGGAGCAATTTAGACCCATTATTTCCCCACCATATCAGCCATGCCCAGCCCTTTTTTCCCCTTCTTCTTCACCTCTTTTCTTGTCATTATTGTTGCAAGAGAAAACATTGGATTTCAACTACTTCCATTTGGATTTTGGGAAAGCTCTAGTTAGGAAAGTTTATGAGCACCTCAAGGGCTACAAGCTTATGGTCACGATTTTCAAATAGGAGCACTATTGAATATATTGTAATATATATATATATATATATATATGTATCTTACATATATACACGTGATATATGTGAGATACAAAAACAACGGTAATACACCATACATGCTTCTAAAATGTGTCTATTAAATTTGATCTGAATAGTATAACTATCATGTTCCAGAAGGTGGTTGTTGTAGATGGTACGTGACTTTTGGTTTGCAACTTCTGAATAGGTGGCAACCATTCAGATGATACATGAATTTTGATTTGCCTCTTTTGGAAGTATATAAATAGCGATGGGTGTTACACATTCTAGATTCACTTTTTTTTTCTGTTCTCTTTTTTGTATCTAGTTATAACAGTTTCAAAGAGTGTTTAGGGAATTCCTTCAGTATTACTAACTACAGGAATTCAGACTTTATTGTATCTTGGGAGTGTTTTGCTACTGAACCCCGTAGCAAACTCAATTTGAGTAGGGGCAAATAACACTTTAAGGAAAGTGAATACACGTCTCAAAGTCTGTACTTTGTTTGGGTTATCACGTTGAAGAAGTTAACATCAATGTTTCATTATCATCACGCTTAAGAAGGTCTGGTTATCTCCAACAACGTATTCGACATTAGTTTCTGGGTCAATTGTTTCAACAATCTTAAAGTGTTATCTGCATGGAGACTATATCAGATAACACTACGTTTAAGGTTACGAATCAAGGCTTTGTGAAGTTAGATCGATTTGATGGATCTAACTTTACTCGTTGGAAGGATAAATTAATGTTCCTACTCACTATTCTTAAAATCTCATATGTTCTGGATCCAAATCTCCAACCATTCCCAGAACCAATAGATAAAGATACAAAGAAAATGATTGAAGATAGGAAGAAACGAGAGGAAGATGAATTAGTCTGCAGAAGTCACATTCTGAACACACTTTCAGACCGATTCTACGATCTCTATACTCCTATGAAGTCTCCTCGGGAAATTTGGAATGCACTAGAATTCAAGTACAAAACTGAGAAACTAGGTAAGGATAAATTTTTAATATTTAAGTACTTTAAATTCTCAATGGTTGATAATTTGTCAGTTTTAGATCAAGTTCATGAATTGCAAGTTCTAGTCACAAAGCTTCTTAAAGTAAAAATTGTACTTCCAGAATCCTTCCAAGTGGGGGCTATGATTTCAAAGTTACCTCCAAGTTGGAATGATTATAGAAAGAAACTTCAGCATAAGACAGAAGAATTTACTTTGGAAGAAATATAGAAGCATTTGCGAATTGAAAAAGAAACTCGAATTTGTGATAAGAAATATCATGTTAAAGATTCTTCCAAAGTGAATTATGTGGATGGAGGCAAATCAAATAAATATCAGAAAAGTCTCAAGTTACAAAATAAAAGGACTTTCGAAAGGGATCATCCTTATAAGAATAAATATCCTCCAGTACCATGTTTCCATTGTGGAAAGAAATGACATTTTATTTGTGATTGCAGGTACCAAAAGTAAAAAGAAGAGAAAGTCAACAATTCAAATAGCGCTAATGTAATGAAAATAACATGAAGCATCATGGGTTGAATCGGAAGAAACTAGCTGTTAGCTCCAAAAGAAGAAGAAGATATGACCTTGAGAAGAATTCTGGATATTGATTTAGCTTCGAAGTGTGTTCTTGCTTGAGATTTTTTATTATCAAAGGATAGGACGTTGCTTGGTTTAAACATTGTTATCTAGGGAATGCATCCTTCTGGTAGCTGATTGCGAGGGACTCATATTCTTGAATATGGAAGAGTATTGTGTCAGTTAGAGATATCATTAAAACCAACCACGGATACACTATTGGCAATGGGAAAGATCAAGATATTTCTTGATCCTCGGTGTCATGGAAAATTTCTTTCAGATTTGTATAGCCACAGGTTATTGCATCATCTCAGTAGAGACAAACAGAGGTGTGTGGGGGATTTTATTACAGTAGGTCAGTGGGATGAGTCTATATTTGACAACATTCCTATGGAGTTGCACCAGTTTCTCCTTCACCAACAAATTCATGGGGGGGATGACAAATTTTCTTGGCAATCCATTCAACTCACTTTCAAATCTGCTTGGAATGCCTGCAGGATTCCAAGACAGGAGGTTTTCTAATTTGATCTTTGCTGGAATGGAGGAAGACCTAGGTGGTCCACTCATTCTGTATTAGTTATGTTGAAGGTTGTTATCACTACTACCTATTTGCAGCAAAGGGGTATTTCATTGGTCTCTAGATGCTACTCTGCTGCAAGAGTATAGAGGATATTGACCGCATTTACTGTTGCTGTGATTTTACTTGGAAGGTATGGTTGACTCTGGCAACTATTTGCCACTAGAACATTCAACCTTATACTTCAATTCATGCAATGGCTTTAGATTTTCCCATAAATTCACTGTAAAGTCAATGAGGACAAAGCTATATAGGATGTTATTCACTACAACATTATATTTCCTTTGGAAGGAAAGGACTGACAGATTGCCCAATGACAAATTTTCTTCTCCAACTGAATTGGCTAAATGTATTTTGTGGGAAGTAGTGGATATCTTGAGGGATGCCTCCAAGATGTGATTTTCTTTTTTACACTAGTTTGTTTCTAAGAGTTTGCACTTGATTTCTTATGTTAGGCTGTGTTTGGTGTGGGGGTATGCCCTATGTTTCCCTTGTAACATATTGTTTATATTTATAAAATTCCTCCATTAAAATAAAAAAATAAAAAAAATTTGGAACTTGGAAGACAAGCAGGGCAATCTGAATACATTTGTATAAATAAGGCAGGGTTATCAAAAGATACACAGTATTTGCACTATTATTATTGTTTTCCCTTAAATCTGCTATTTTCTTTGAGTGTGTTACTTTTATGTGTTACTTTTAAAAGTTGCTTTAGTCAGAAACTGGCTCTCTTTACGGAGGTGAACGTAACGGAAGCGCTACCCACCTCGATCTCGAACGAATCGTAACGGAGGAACAATTCCACCACCAACAATCTCGACATCAAGACCACGAAATCTTTTCCGGCGCACTGTTTGTTGCCGGCCGTAGGAGACTCGGTTTCGGGCCCGTTTGACCATAGCACGTGCTTCAAAAGACTCTCTCCTTCCTCACCCACAAACCGATCCGGCACGAACTCTTCGGGTCTGTCGAATATCTTCGGATCCTTTGTCGCAAACGGTTGGTACCCGAATATCATTTCCCCTTTTTTGACCTCAAACGCCGCGTCGTGAGACTCTATCACCAGGTCACGTTTGGCCCGGCCGTACTGAAATGGTACGGGTGGTTCGATCCGGAACGATTCGAACACAACGGACTGCATCAATGGCATCTGTTCCATGGCTGCCATCGTCACATTCCCGCCGTTGGATTTGACGGCTGATCGGATCTCCTCGGCCAGTTGTGTGTGCAGTTTGACACCTGCTTGGCCGATCCAATTCACCATGCTGGGGAAGAAGACTTTCATGCCACCGAAGGAATTAAAGCAGGCGGCGAATAACAGGTTGTGACAAGCTTCTTCTCTCGAGATGCCGAGCCTCTCGGCCTCGTCTAGAATTGTTGTCGATGACTCGTAGAAGAAGTCGTAGAGTCTCTGGTAGTCCTTTTTGATGAGGAATGGTGGTAAAGGAAAGGTGTGGAGGAGAAGTTCTTCTAGAAGCTTCGGCAAGCCGGCAACGAGTATAGGACCGATTTGGAACACCACCCATATGGCGATTATATTGGGTCCGTCGGTTCCGAGTTTGGTATCGGCCGGGTTGGTCCCGAAGAGAGACCGACCCAGGAAGTTAAACGAGGCCTGATCATTGGGTCCGCCGAAGTCGGCTTTGCCATCAGTGGCTAGCCCACTCTCAAGGGTCTCGAATAGCTCGGTGAAGCTGTTGTGAAACTCCGGTATGACCTTGGCGCGACTAGATTTCAAGAGGAAGAATAGGAGCCGCTTGAGCTTGTCGTGTTTCGGCTCGGACGGGTCGAGATAGGAGAGGACTCGGTAACCACCGGTGAGTTCAGTGGAGGGCATGTAGGTCCCAGTGAAGAGGTCCTTCTTCTCGACCTTAGTCACGTCGAAAAGAACCGGAAAGCTCTTGCCGTCGAGGACGGTGACGACGTTTGAGTTGGAGGAAATGAACGGACCAGGTGGCATGTTCACTCGGTACACGGTTGATTCGTACTTCTCAACTCGGGACTTGAAGAACTCGTCTTGGCCTTGATTGTAAAAGTAATCCAGTCGGTCTTTGATGGGACCCACAAATGGAAGGCCGTAGTTTCCTGGGATTGGCCGGATAGGAAGCTTTTTGGTGGCCTCCGTCGGCTTCACCCTAGCCGGAGGTGGTGGTGCCGGCACATTTGGTTTCTCAGATATGGAAGCGGAGATGGGATAGACAGCGAGTGTACGAGTTGACGCCTTGGACGAACGCTTTGACGGTGTTTGGGAAGGGAATTGGAGTTGAAGAGGAGAGGAAGGCAGAGAAGACGAAGCCATTAGTTTTGAACGGCTTACAGTGATGCTTTTGACTATTATATTATTGCAAAAAGGTTGATTGATAGAGAGAATGAGACTGGAAATGGAAATGGAAATGGAAATGAGCTTTATCAATTCTGTGCGATGATGTTTTGGAAGCACCAAACAGGTATATATATAGTTATATTCATATATGTGTAAAGATGGTCGTGTAAAGGTAGTGGTATTCATAGACAGAGAGTGGGAGAGGTCAATGGGACATGATATTTTGTATACTCTACGATTGATGCTAGTCAAGAAATGTTTGTCATAAACACGTAACTCCACTTTTTTTCATTATGAATTGTCCAACATTCGTTTTTTGGAAGGGATATTCGAGCTCTAAAATATTTCTCTTGCGCTTTAAATTGTACCACTATTATATTATAAAAAATGATGAGATTAACCTTTTAAACTGTATTGTATTTTAAAAAAACGACAAGATGATCCCTTATATTATGAATTCTAGCTAGCTAGATGATTTGACATAGGTTTGTAAGAATTAAGAGGGTAGAATTGTCCCTCCACTTTATTAGGACATGACTTGAAGCATAAGAGAAACTTTTTGGAGTCAGAATATCACTGCCCTACTGTTCTTATTATATAATTTCTTTTTCATCTTTGAATTGTCCAAAATTGCTTTGAAATAAAATTACTGGAGACATTTAAATATGATATTATAGGTCAAAATAAAGATAACATAAAATTTTGGTTCCATCTAACGGGATGGATTTTGATGCAAAATATTTATTATATCATAGGATCATCATTTTTTAAAATATTAAATATGGAGGAGTGGATCCCATACTTACTTATATCTAACATAAATAATTAATAAAAGAAATATTCAATTAAATAATTTACTGAAAATTCAACCATGCGTAATCCGATAATGCACGTCAAACAAAAACTTGTAAAATTCAAAGAGAAAAAAAAAAATTAAAGAAAAAAACAAAAGAAAAGAAAAAAAAAAAAAACGTGCCAACCTGTGAATTTCAGATGGTTCAGTTTTGTTGTTGAAGATGCAAGAAACTCCTTCTATTCTTTCTCTCTCTAGAATTCTTACACCTCAACCCGAAAAAGATCCCCCTCCCCTTCATTCCAACTCCTATTTATAGATACTTACAAGATATTTACAAGATATTTACTAATTGCTGGACCTGGGCCTATTCCTCTGTAAGCCCTGGTCACCCTTGATGGGCTTACTCCCGCCCGGCCCATATGGCAGTGTCTTTCTATGGGCTGACCCAGCTGTTCGGACTGAAGGTTGTGTTTTGCGAGTCGGACCTGGCCCATGTCATCCAGGGCCTCCTCAACTGCCCCCATAATTGCCCCTTATTTAATAAGGGGTAATTATTGATGGCGTCTCATCATGACGCTGACGGCTCGAGATAACCACGTGGGGGAGCGAACGGTCAGATCCAGAATCAATGTTCCGGGGTTCGAGGGATTTCTTGCCTTCCCGACGCTTCGGCCCTCGGGCCCCTTTGCCTTTATAATGCTCTAGAATTCCACTTCACTTCCCTTTACCGTCTCCATCATCAGCCAAATCTCCCTCTTTCTAGAACTGTGCTAAGCCTTTTCCGGTGAAATCCTTCGAGAGTCATTCTCCCAGCGATCTTGCAGTCCTCCGAGGTTAGTTTCGTTCTTTTTACTTTCGGCAGGCTTCCATTTTCCCTCTTTTAGATTCTTCTTGCACTTCCACCATGGTTGTAGATCTGGGTGTTCTTCGTATGAGACTTAGACTTCCTGACAACATCGAAGTTAGGGTTTGCCCCCAAGACGTTAATATTACGACCGGCGCCGGCCTCCTGCCCGGCGAAGTCTTATTCACGAACCTTCAACTGAATGTTGTTAGGTTCCCTCTGCACCCTTTCTTTAGTTACGTCTTCAACAGATTGGGGATATCCCCTCTGCAGGTCAACCCCAACTTCTTTAGGATCATATCTGTTATGCTATTATTGATGCGTGACAGAAATCTGGACCTTGACCTCATAGACCTCCTTCTGTGCTATAAGGTCAGTAAGATCCGTACTAACGAGCCCTTCTACCACCTCTACCCGTTCGAGAAGATGTCCATATGCACTGACACAATAAAATCTGAAAAGGGTTGGAGGGATAGCATAGTGGGTATTAGTGGGGCTTGGTCTTCGCCGGCTGCAGAGGATTACCCAATCCCGAGCGCCTTTGGTGTCTGCTCTGTCTCCTCCTATAAAAAATTCAAATCCCATAAACATGACTGCCCCTGTGAAACATGCGTTCCTCGTTTTTGCACTTACTTATGCCGCTCCTTGGGAATTCCTTGTGATGACTTGAGCTACAGTGTTTGCAGGGATAGGAGTAACTACTTGAAGAGATACGTTCTGAACGATATTCCTTCCTGCTCAGATCTCCTCACTTCAGACAACCTCTTTGCGCTCTCATCACTCGGCTACAATATGAGCAGACTGCAGATTCCCTCTTTTGGCAGGAGGAAAAATACTCCCCCAGCCATTCCTGCTGCTGGGGCGACCTCCTCTCCAGCGTCGGCTTCTTCTTCAGCCACCATATCTGACACTGTCCCGAGCGCAGTGGCTACTAACCCTGTTGCCAGCGCCCCTGCTGCCAACCAGAACGCGCCCTCCCCAGCTACCATAGCTCCTGCTGCTGCGGGGGGCGGTCGGGACAAAGAGCGAGGCAAAAGGCCTCATCCTGACAGTGAAATCGATCCTGAGGAGGAGCCTCTTATTAGAAGGACCCGAGTCTCTGGGCCGGGTACTCTCTTGCACCGAGCGATCAGAGCTCCTTCTCCCTCTGGGCCTCCTGCAGCTGGTGGCTCTGCTTCTGCTTCAGGCCCCCCTTCTATCCCCAGCTTACCGCCATGGGCCCCTCGGTACACTCGAACGGATGGGACGTTCGTGAAACCGAACGAGACCATGCTGAAGGATGGCCAGACCGCTATGGCCTACTACAGGAGCATGTGGACTCCGAAGGACATTGAGGCGGCAAAGGGCCTTTCCCAGAAGGACGTGTTCAGTCGCTTTCCCCAATCTGCTATGGAGGTGACTTTTATTTTCTAACTCATGAATTCTCTTATATTACTTGGTCTTGCCTTCGCCCGTTCTGACTATTGGTTTAACCGTTCTTATTGTGCACCTATGCAGACATTGTTCGGGATGATGGCCATGCAGAAGCAGGTGGAAATGGGGAACGCCAGGGCCCGAAAGTATTCTGACAGCCTGGAGGTGGCTAATAAAGAAAACGACCTCCTTGCCGTGAAGAATACCGAGGTGCTGGTTCGGCTTGACAAAGCCGAGCAAGAGAGAGATGTCCTGAAAAAGGAGAATGATTCCCTTCAGGATGAGAAGGACGCCCTCCAGCTTGAGAAGAGCGTCTGGCAGACTGAGCAGGAATCACTCAGAGAAGAGAAGGCAGAACTCCAACGCCTTCTAGCTGATGAACAGTCTGCTCGGATGGCTTTTGAAAAAAGAGCTCTGGACGAGCGTACCGCTCTGATCGACGCTATCAGCAGAGTGGGTGGTGGGATGCTGGCCCTTCACGCTCGGTTCTCCAGGGTCGGTGCTCTTCGGTATGCTCAAGGATTCCGGGAAGGTTTCGCCGACCGGGTTCCGGATGAGGGACAGACCAGCTCCACTCCGGATGAGGTAGACAAGGATCTGGGGATCGAACCCCTGGGGGTCTATGTCGACCCAGAACCCACCGAAGCGGAACGTATATTTGATGAGTGCCAGGACATCGCATCCTCAAGGATCATCACAGCTCCTCCTACCGCTCTGCCACTGACCGCTCCCCAATCGTCAACCGTGGCTCCCTCTGTAGCCACTGCTGACGCTGAACCCCAGCCGAACGACTCAGTTATTCACCTGGATTCCCCACCTCATGAAGGTGAGGCGGCTGATGGGGCCGAGGAGGCGAGTCGGCAAGACCAGGATGCTGTTGGTACTGAGGCGTCTAGCTAGGGCTCCTTTGAATTCTTCCAGTTCATATCTTCTTGTAATGATGGACATCTCTCTTTTGTAAACTAAATGTTCAATATTAATGAAATGGCCGAATTCTTTTTCTCTATGTGTTGTGCTCTGTTCAACTTATCTTCAGTACATATATATCTTTTCTCTCTTTTTCTTTTTATATTAGCTTCGCTGTGTGTTTGTACGGCAAGTGCCTGGCGCTCGGCTAGAATGCCACTTGCCACTTGGCTTTAAATTTTTAGCAAGTGTTTGGCGTTCGGCTTATAGTGCCAGCTGCCACTTATCTTGCTTAAGTGCCTGGCGCTCGGCTAGAATGCCACTTGCCACTTGGCTTTAAATTTTTAGCAAGTGTCTGGCGTTCGGCTTATAGTGCCAGCTGCCACTTATCTCGCTTAAGTGCCTGGCGCTCGGCTAGAATGCCACTTGCCACTTGGCTTTAAATTTTTAGCAAGTGTCTGGCGTTCGGCTTATAGTGCCAGCTGCCACTTATCTTGCTTAAGTGCCTGGCGCTCGGCTAGAATGCCACTTGCCACTTGGCTTTAAATTTTTAGCAAGTGTCTGGCGTTCGGCTTATAGTGCCAGCTGCCACTTATCTTGCTTAAGTGTCTGGCGCTCGGCTAGAATGCCACTTGCCACTTGGCTTTAAATTTTTAGCAAGTGTCTGGCGTTCGGCTTATAGTGCCAGCTGCCACTTATCTTGCTTAAGTGCCTGGCGCTCGGCTAGAATGCCACTTGCCACTTGGCTTTAAATTTTTAGCAAGTGTCTGGCGTTCGGCTTATAGTGCCAGCTGCCACTTATCTTGCTTAAGTGCCTGGCGCTCGGCTAGAATGCCACTTGCCACTTGTCTTTAAATTTTTATAGTAGACCATTGGAAAAGAAAATTCTTTTTTTTTTTTGTAAATTCCAGTAACTTGCTCATTCATACGTATTTGATTGACAACAAATAACATCCAATTAAAGCCAGAACTTAGCTTCTATTGGTAGTACCTCTTCAGAGACGTGGCGTTCCAGGGCTTGCTGACCAACTTTCCCGCCATGGTTTCCAACGCATATGCCCCTTTGCCAATGACTTCTGCAATTCTGTATGGGCCTTCCCAGGGTGGCATCATTTTTTTGACCATCCCCACCTTTCTTTTCAGAACCAGATCGCCCGGGGCAAAATCCCTGTGTTTTACTCTCTTATTGTGACTATTCGCCAGCACTTGCTGATACGATGCTAGCCTTATAGCCGCTGCGTCCCTCCTTTCGTCT